ATTCAACATTCGCGCCCATTCATGGCAAGTGGCGCAAAAAGGTGACGTCGTCCTTTTGTGCGGCCGCGATGAATTCGCCAATGTGGAGATTAGTCCGCCATTGGCGCGGTGCGGCGGAGCGCGCCTCACCGCACACACCTGCACCAGATTATGGCAAGCGCTGTAGGTACACTGCTAGCCACCTGCACAGGTCACGGACACGTTGCCGGCAGCACATGTTTAGGCCCCGTTTTGCTCCCGTTATCATTTCTCGCTGTATTGTGTTCGAATTAGAATCAACGGACTAGAAATGCGAAGTCGGCTTATCGGGTGGGCCTTAGCGCCCCCAGTCGAGACAGGTTTATAAAACATCGTGAAAAAGAGTTGTTCTTATGGGAACCCCCGGAGCAAATAATGAGCATTTCAATATTTTCAGGAGCAACAACTTCGATTCTTTTGTAATTTTTTGGTTCCAAAATAGCTGATTTCAAACTAGTCTGGCATCGCAGACTCTCTGCCAGGTCGAGGGTGTTGAGGTTGGCTGTACTACATTTACCCAGGCGGCCCTAAACTAGACAGGACGCTCGGTTCTCCAGAGGAAGTTTCATCGCGTCGGATTTGGGGGGACGGCCTCTGGAGTTAATCCTCTCACGGCTTGTTCGCAGGGCGTGGTCTTATTTTAATCAGGGGGACTATCTGAGCTGAAGCGGGGAAGAAGCTCGGGGTGCTCAACTAGTAGTGACTGCACGATGTCTTTGGCCCGGCCTGTTGTCTCGAGCCGGAAGGAATTGGACCCCCAGCCGGAACAATTAAAACAGTTGAATTGATCTGGACGCCCTCTGTGCGCATGGACTTCAAAGCCTTCTTAGCAGCAAACTGGTTTTATTGTGTCGCTGATGCCGATGAACCAACCCCCAAAACCAGCTTAAGTGTAGTTACTCAGCCTAGATTTCGTTTTAAAATCATCGCGTCAAGTGTGAAAAACGTACACGTCGGCTAAGCCAACATGGTTGTTAGGCGTTACAAGTTCTCTGATTAAGGCCTCACTTTTTGGATTATTTGTGTTTAGCGGCGTGAGGATACGAGATACGTCTTTCTTCTTCACTCTGGCTTATTTGTCCGTGTAATCAAAATCTTCTTGCGCTACGCTCAGAATGCAGCGCCTTCGGCGAGCACCTGTTGCGAGCGACTTGGCTCGAGCATTAGCCGACGCCTTAAAGTTGGGTGAGTTGTGCGACGCAGCGCTCTGATTTTCCCGTGCCACGTTCCTCTCTGACAGGCACGCCCGCCTCTCTATTTTTCACGCAGGCGACCATTATTGGTGTGCAGCGCGTTTACAAGCTTTATTTGTTCGGGGTGGTCCGTCAGGATGGAGGACGCCGGGCCGAGCCGCCTAGCCGCCGGGACGCACGGTGGCACGTCGATTAATCTCTTCCCCCTGATTTTCACTCTGTGTGTGTGCGGCCTTGCCCATGATTGAGTGGGCCGTCTCATGATTCATGGCACTGGCCGGGCTCAGCCCTCGCTTTGGAGCGGCTCGACGCCACGGCGACTTGGGCGTCGCCAGGCTTGTCCTCGACCCATCCGGTCTGCCTTCGGCTTTGTCCGGCAATTGACGCCCGAGCCACAGCCGCCAGCAGCCGCCACGATGCCGTCGCGTGATGTCTGTTCTACCACTAGAAAGAGCACTGAATCTACAAGAGCAGTCCCTTTCGAACAAAGTAAAATAGGAATAAAAAGTACCTAAATTAATAGTAAGTGACGTGCTACAATGACTTCACTGGTTGCGAGGAGGGTGCCCCGTTCTCTGAGCTTTGCAGAACAGTGGTGTTTTTTTTGCGTGGAATCCGGCTGCTATGTGAAAAAACTCATACATACTCGGAAAAACGTCTTTTGCTGGCCAGTCAGTCATTTGCTACATCACTTATTGTTTCTGGTAAGAATATCTTTTGAGATGTGCCACTGCGTAGTAACGTAGATGCACGTTAGTTGGAATTTCACCATTTGTTTCCGCCTTCCGTACCTACCGTAAGGTGTACAGAACACCGTCGAATCATAATTGGAGTTTGCAGAACTTTGCGTGCCATTTTCAGTAATAATTGTTGTCGTTAGTCTGGGCTCGGGAGGTCCGTTCATCATAGACATCGGTAGTTTGAGGCGGCGCGATCGTTAAAACAAAGTTTGAGCCCTAAGGGCGTGTCCGTCTTAAGAGCGTTGAAACAAGATGGCGTTGTGGGGTACACTATGATAGTGAAAAGTTTGAAACAATATCAGTAAAATAGTTGCTGTCGAAGAAAGCGCCCTTTCACCATGAATCACAAGGGGGGTACCTCAAGGCCTGAATGTTTTTCAAAAGCAGAAGACTGGACCTGGTGACCCCTGCTGGACTTCATCTCCCGAAAGGAACTGGACGTGGCGTTTCGCTCGCTCTCTACGTGGAGGGGAGGGGGCGCTTCGGGGCGTGGTCGGGCTCGGCGAGAGAGAGTTTGAGCGATGGGGTGGATCCCTTGAGGCGGACGCCGAGGGACTCATAACATTCAGCATCATAAGCCCTTGGGTCTGGGGGGGTCGGCTCCCCGGAGGGGTGAAAGAAGGGGCCGTGCCAGCCCGGCAGGCTAGAGCGGCATAGGTAGGGGAGGCTAGTCATCGCGATATGCCCCAGGGACCGAAAGTCTCATTGCCGGGTATTGGCACGTACGTCCTGCACACGAAGGCATGCGCTGTTTAGGGGGCTAAACTTTCATATTGTGCTGTAGCTCAGGAATGCTTGTGTCGCTCCGGGGTACAAACTGCTTGTGACATAATACCGTTTAAAAGGGTGCGCGTAGCAGCACTTCAAAGTATCTCAGGCATCTGTCGCTGAAACTTGTTGGAGTTTTTATCACGTTAACACACGGTGCGTTGTGCACTGACCCTACGCGCGGTGCTTGTCTGTATTTTTGTCGCTAAAAAAGGGCGAGCTCGTCAGAGTGACGCAGTCTTTTTGCCTCATTCGCGGAGAATTTGCATACGCTTTGGCTGGCACGGTAACGAGGGCCGACAGCTGCGCCGGCCTGCAGCACAAGACGTAAATCAACGGGCCACGCCCCCTCTTTGACGATTGTCTCGAACATGTGCCCCGCGCTGCAGCCAGATAGGCGTGTCAGTCTTCATGCAGGCGAAAGATGTTTAATTTTTAAACCGCTTAAGCCTGACTAGGCAAAAATGTCTTTCAACTCGGAAATATGTGTATATTTGTGAAACTGGTATTGCGTGTTTCTGTAACAGTGTCGTAAAAACAGCTGTGTAGGACATATTCAGTACCGTACGAGGCACGCAGTAGCTTTATAAGCCCTTCGGGAGGATGTGCAGATTCAGCCGTGCCGTGCTTCGCGTCTGATGCGCCGCCCGAAGATAGTAAAGCGCCGGCAGGATGCCTGCAGCGTGTAGGAGGTCAAGTGCCGCCTGCCCTAACCTTGGCAGCTTGCACATCCAGACGAATGAAACACGACCATGAAACTCGGGGATACAACGCAAGGGACAAGTACGAGGGGGCGGCTGCTCTTGACTTTATCGTCCCCTCTTTCGTCCCATCTGTCCGCACGGTGACATTCTTCCTTCATCTGCTCATCTTTTTCCGGGTTTATGCGAGCAACGCAAACAAGAGGTCTGAGGGAGACTGCGTGAAGGGCCGACCAAATATGCCTGCAGTAGTTCTGCCCTCGCCTCCTACCAAAAGCGTCTGCCCCCGCAGTCTTACAGCAGACTTGGAGACTTTCTGAATGCGGAGTTCCTCGACCACTGAAAATATGCGATTAAAATGCTGCGGGTGCAGCGGTCGGCCAGTGTGTTTGCCATGCCACACATGACGGCGTTGTTCGCGGTCCCAAGGCTGCAGACAAGGCAGGCGTAAACCACGCTGGAAATGTGCGGCTCGGATTTATGCGTCTATAACGTGACCAAGTACCGGGGGAGGGGCGCAGACGAGCTGAGCAGGCCTGTCATCATGGCACGGCAAGTCGAGCCTGGCCGCGGGGTCACGACCTGGGAGAGGGAGAAACATTGAGACTCGTTGTAGGCTGACAAGGAGGGCTTGTCTTTGGGTCACTGCCGGCAGTGGACGCGAAAATAAGCCAGGCCCGTTTACGGCGATTTCACGATAAGGCGGATGCGGAGAAAAGGAAAAATGGGCGCGTGCTGCGCCACAGCCTCCTTTTTAGTCCTTTGTTCAGCTCTCGTTTTCTCTTCACCACGGGTAAACAAATTTGTGGGCCCGGGCCGCCGATGCCGAGGTAAAGCTGCTACGTTCAGATAAAGCTCACTATTTTTCCAGCGGTGCGCCCAAGGCGGTGCAAGGCGGCGCCGCCCGGCCGGGGCGGCCAAAGTGGCGGCCCGGGATTGGTGCTCTGGCCGCGACATCTCTCTGGTTTCCGCAATTTCGGGTAAATGCTTCCTATGACAGGACGAGGGTCGTTTCGTGGCTGCACGGCGAAGGCAGTGGCGCTGGGCCGCGCTAGGCGGGCAGAGCGGCGCCTTCAACCGGTAATCAATAGCCGTCTTGAGGGACTGCGCTAGGCCGGGCCACGCCGGAGCAAGGCCGGGCTGGGCTCGAAAGCCCTCGGCCGGCAAATGCGAGAAAGAAATGGAACGGCATATCAAAGACAGCTGTGCCAGGGGCCACCCAAGCCCACCCAAGGGCCGCCGGGCTGCGGCCTGGATGCGGCCTCGCTGCGGTCGGGGCTGTCCGCACTGGGAGAAAATGGGGTGAAATATTTAGAGGAAGAGAAGGTTGGGAAAGGAATTGGAAATGTCTCACGCCGTTCAGCCGCAAGTGGACCTGTCACGCAGTCAACTCCACGCGCCAAAGGCTCGAAAACTAATCTGCTCGGTCTGCCTCTGGGCGGTGCACTATGAGAAAAGGCGCTCGAAGAATGGTTGGTTCAAAGTCAGATTGTGAAATTGTGCTCTGGACTGCAAACGTGTTTATGGCGCCTGCCACAACAAGGTCAGGTTGTAATTTTCCGTTCCCTTTTTGCTTGCAGGAGGGTGACGTTGTGGACCATTGTGACAAGACAATCAAAGCAAGGACACGCGAGAGCTACAAGACCAAAGTGAGGTAAAAATGATGCTTTTTGCCTAAATTTTATTCTAAAAACTGCAAACACGCAGGCGTTCCGATTAAAACGGCTCACAAGACGCCTGTCCCACCTTTCTCTTTACGGAGGTCTTTAGCGGCGGTATACGGCGGGCCTTTACGGCCCACACGTCGTTGCGGCCAGAATGCGGGATCCCCGGCGTGTCCTTTGGGGCGGGGCGGCGACGCAGCGGCGCGGCGACGCCTCGCAAATAAAGAAGCGGAAGTGTGTGGCGGTCGCGAATTACGGCCGCATTGCCCGTTATTTTGGCCCCACCCCTCGTTACGGCCGTGCACGCGAGGCGCCGCGGTGACGGCCAAGGCACGACCACGCAGCACCGTGCGGCACGCCTGCGGCACGCCACCGATTGCCCCATTGACCGACATGAACGACGTGTACTGCGTGGGGAGGCGCTGCCGCCGCCGCCGCCCCGCGCGGAGGGACGCGACGGCCAGGAACTCACTTCCCAGAAACGCGGCGCCCGCACGCCAGCTTGCGGATTCCGAACAGTGCTTTTGCCGCTCTGTCTCTGTCGCGCCCGCGGGTTGTCCCGCGAGGGCGGAAGAGAGACAGATCGACCGAACACGCGCACAACTTGTCCATTAGCATAACCCGCGCGACGCGTTCTTTGCCCGCGCGAGGTCGGCGCGGCCCGAGGGCCGTGGCGTGCGCTGCGCGTGTTTGTTTATTGGAGGCGGCAGGGTATGGCCGCCTTGGCAAAGGCGTTTCCGGTTCGGTCAGCACAACATCCCTGGGCGAAGACGGGAATATTTTCAATATTGCACATTGCTTCCTTGATGAAATTTGGCCGTGCTCGATTGCTAGAGACATGCGTGGCGCGACCCGCAGACTTGCCTTTCCGGCTGACTACATTATCCCGCCGCGGACGTGGATGCTGTGCTTCCGGCATTTCTGCACGTTGATGTCTGTCGATGAACAGGGCGGGGTGGCTTCCACTCGGCCGCTCCGGGGTGGGCGCCACCCTCTTTCTAATTCCCGTCATCGCGCTGACTAAACTTGAAAGCGAGCCGCGCCCGGACGGCCTGGCCGAATCCCTTCCGACGTTGAAATGGCGTGCATAATTCATAAGTTCCAGCCACTCCATTAATCCCTCCGTGTACGTAGAGCTCTGTGCGTCAGACACCAGGTGGGAAGCAGGGGGAGGTAGGCACGGCCCTGGGCCCTGGGGAGATGAGGTCTGTGGAGGGGAGCGGAATATGACGGGCACTGACAGCCACCACCACTGTTTAGTCCGATATGCTAACACACACACATACAGCCCGTTCGAATTGCTCAGCGCACGCATGAGCGAAGGGCCGCAAAATACATACGTTTGGGGCGCGAACACAATGCGTGCCGCACAAACTCTATCGCGAACCAAAGCGGTCTTGTTCTGTGACTGACACAGTCTCAGTGTTGTGCGCACCGGCTCACTACCGCGGTGGCCCTTGCGTTGGTCAACTGCCTGAATACATGAAACAAATGCCATATTTGGACTGCTGCAGCCCCTGAGCCAGGTGTCGGAGCGTTCCTTGAACCCTACCTCCCTTATAGCCGTCGATCCGCTGCGGCAACGCCAAAAAAAGCACGCGCCAGTTTGTGGAGGCAATCCGCCTTGTCCCAGTTTGCGAATAAACCCCACCCTTAAATCTTTAGTGGCCGGATTACGTCCATCCTGGGCCGGCCAGCCCGGTCGAAGGCCCGGCCGACGGCCCGGCCCGTCGATTAGAGAGGCAGCCCCTATTTGACGGCCCCTCCCTGCCGGTCGGCCGCGGCCCCAATAAAGCATACACTGGCGTGACCGCCACCTCGGCAAGTAAAGCCCCCGAACGAAAGCCGTCTAGTTTGTTGCAGAGTGTTTGTGTTTCCTCTGATTGCACGGCAGCCTCGCCGGCCTCGCCGGCCTCGGCCCGCAGTCTGGTCCGGTCGGGTCGTCCAGGTGCGGAACAATCTGCAAAGTGGTGAAACTGGCTGGCCGGGGGGCCGTGACAATCCGGGGCTTCATCACCATCGGCAAACACGGGGACGGTCTGTAAATTGCGCTGCTGTTTCGACTGCCACTCCCGCCCTATTTCTTTTTTCGCCCCTGCCACGCTTACCCTGCTGCAGTTTTTCTGAAAGGCCGTGCAGTGTAGCCACTGGATCTCTTTCTCTCGCGCAACCTCCGCTTCGGCAGTGGGATGGTCAGTCGGGAAGCCGTGGGCAACCGCTGACCGCACGCTACAGTAATGGCAGAGCTAGCGCGGGGTGGAGGGCGTGGTCCCCCGAGCAGATGTGCCGGGCCCGGCCCGACTGAGTGCTAGTTGTTGTTCAACGTGAACTGGTGGCAAGTTGGGGCCGATATCTCCTCCCGGCGGTACTCAGTCAAACTGAAGCCACTTGGGCGCCGGGGGCCGGCGTTGGCCGGTGCCTCGCCACCTCCTCTAGAAAACACGGGCCGCCGCTGCTTTGACGCACCCCGCCCCTCCGTCACTCCGTCACTGGCGGGGCTAACCGTGCGGCCGTTAGACCAGACCGCTTCGGTTCACCACGTGGTTTATCGGTGTCGGCGGCCCGGGCACTTATCGCCGTGAGCCTCGCTTTGAGCGCGGCTGCCGCCCGCTGCCGCCCACTGCCGCCCCGGTTGCAGGCTTGAAAGAGGACCGCACACACTCCTCCAGCGCGCTGGCTCGGGTGGCTAGCTCCACAGTGCTCCGCAGACTGCGCGGAATTTGAGACTGGCTCGGCGCGCCCGCTCGCCCTTTAAGCAGCCCCGTCATTTCTCCTTGAGTGCGCGGAACGGCGCGTCTCAATCGATTCGGCATATCGGAGCCACACTCGGCGCGCCGAACTTTCCCTTGCCGCCCCGCCCGGGCGCGCCCCCGCCTTGTCGATTTACTTGTCTACATGAACCTACTCCGCGCACCCGCTGCTACCCACTGTCGACAGCGAGCATACGCTTCTCGGTCTCACCGTGTGCCGGGAGCGGCGTCCCTGTTTTTCCTTGTCAAGTGGGTAGCTTGCACCCAGCCGATATCAGTTCAATTCATAGAAACCTCTGCATCGGCTAAATTTAAGCGACGGTAATCTTGTAAGAGATAAGAAGGCTAAGTTTTGGCTGTGGGCGTGGTTGGGGGTGGCTGACGGCGAGAGCATATTTACCACCGCGGCCCCCCCCCCCCCCCGCCCCGCGAGGTGAGGCTTATCTGGGCGTCTTCCTCTATCGCGGCGCGCAACAAATCGGCGTCATTAGGTGCGCAGAGATTGTGTGTGACAGTGACACGACTGGAATGGCCTGAATGAGGCGCAACACGCGACTGTGCGGCTGCCCCCTGTTCCCTTGTTCCCCCGGGCCCCGGGAAGCCTCCGCCTTTTCAAAGTTAATTGGCTGCGCCTGACCTGACAGTGACCAAACGGCCGCCGTGCTCGTCATACCAATTATTGCATTAGTCACCATTTTCATATTTTATTGTACAAGGCCACATTCTGCTCCAAATGGCAGTTTAGTATACGATCTGACTACATTTAAATTCAGGCAGGTCCCAGAAGTTAAAATGAAATAGCATAAAATCGAATAAAACGTTAAATCATAAAATGGGTCACCCCTGATCCATTTTATTTGACTTATGTTTGTTCTTTAAACCTAGGTATAATAAATTGAAACCTGTATGTACACTACACCCACTAATGTTTTAAAGTTGGTTTTGTCTGGCTGGTTTGACGGGTTGTGAGAGTAATGCTCAACACGGTGCAGCGCGTTCTAAGTTATGCGCTGGGTGGTGCCTCCGTGGACCGTTAGTATGCGTGCCGGCGGTGCGGACCGCGAAAAAGAGCACCCCTGAACCCCTGGGCTCCGAAAGTCTGTCACTTTCGGTGGGAGAATGACGTTCTTATGCCGTGCCTTCTGATGAGCCGCCATTGTGGGGCCAGCGTTCGAGGCGAGGTTCGAGGAGCCCCAAGTGGCCCAAGTGGGCCGGGCTGTGGGCCGGGCCGGCAGCTTTGCCCACAAAGGGAATCGATCCCGCACCCCTTTGCACGGCCAAGGCGCGGCCGAGGCTCGGCCAAGGACAAAAGTGGAGCCAACTAACTTTTGCCGAAACGGGACACCTTTCGGCTTGCCTCTCCTCCTTGAAAGGCAGCCCAGATGATTGCACCGGGGGGTCGCGCTTCGCCCAGCCCCGCCCCGGCCTCGGCGCCGAGGACAAGAAAGGCGGCCAATCGAAGCCCTCCCCATGATCTGCGGTCTAAGTGACGCGGACTACTCTGTATAACGGCCAGGCACGGGGCTTTGGCCCGCCTCGCCGCCCCAGAGCCCCATGGGGCAGGACGTGTGGCAGTCCAAAGCCCTCGAAGGCCTTCAGCACGTGTTGGTGGTCCACTCACTGGCCCGGCCACCGCCATTCCGCGGCCGTTGTCTGCGCGCCGACCCCATCGACCTCTTTTCTTTGACGCCGCCCTTGCCGGAGTCACCTCAGCTCAACTCAGTCTCGTTTCAAGAGTTCAATACCTTTCACCGGTCCCAGTGAAATCACCGCGGCTCCCGCAGCGCCACTGGCCGCGCCCCAACGTCGTTTGCAGACTTGCCCAACTTTTGCGACGACTTGGCCGCGCGCTTCCTCTACCATTCGAATTCTGCGGCCCGTAGTTTCGCGGCACCTGCGCCGGAAGTGTTTGCCGGAAACACTCAGAGGGCCTGCGCGCCGGCCTGCCCAAACAGGAATCGTGATGTATGCGCTGCGTCGGTTGGGGCGACTCCTCCACACACACACACACACACACGCGCGCGCGCGCGCACACACACACACACACATTTGTCTGCCCGGCGGCCGTTTAGGGCCCCATTAAGGCGGCTCAAAGCGGCCCGAAGTGGCGAGGTTTCGCCTGTGGGAAAGGGGATGCCTGTTGTGTGTTGTTTGGGGTTAGGGCTGGGCCACGGGCCACTCTGAGCGCACGCTTCATCGCGCAGATGGAATCTCTTCGTGGCCGGCTCGCCTGGCCCCGC